TTCAACTAATAATCGAAATGTTGGCAAAGGCAGAGGCCGATAGAAAAATCGAAAGGGAAGAGAGGAGGAAAGAGAGGGAAGAGGGGGAGGAAAGTAGGAGGAAAGAGAAGGAAGAGAGGGAGGCCAATAGAAAAAAAGACAGAAGATTTCCTGGCGAGATTAGAATTCAATCAAGAAAAGGCAGATAGCATGCTGACGAAATCAGACGCCAACTTCAATGCCTGGCAGGAAGAGACGTTGGCCTGCCCAGTGGACATGATACCTGCGACGGCACAACAAGAAGAGGTTCCCATGGTGATACCGGTCGGAGTGACGATGTCCTGCCAAGAAATGGAGGCACGTCCAGAAGAAGAAGAGCCGACTTCAGCGAACAGGAAACCTGAGGCGACAGATCTACGAGAGGTACCCATAGAAGATGCCGAAGTAATGCCGGTCAGAGAACCGAAGAAGAAAAGGCGTAGGGACCGAAACAAGCGACGAATTATGAGGAACCCGACGTGGGAAAATTGTGGACCCCAGAATAAGTTGGCCGCCGCCTGTAGGAAGGTGTCCCGCCGTGCGACAGTGGCATGGCGCCGGAGAAACATCGTCAGGAAGTCTTGGACCCGAGGAGATCATGAATCCCGGATGAAGATGGCTGCTACCTGCAGGAAGACATCCCATCGCTCGACAGTGGCACGACGTTCGAGAAATGACTTCAAGAAGGAAACTCCCCAGGGAACCTTCGGATGCCGGAGAAAGGATTTGGTGCCAAGGTCTCGCGCCAGCAAGTGGCTGGAAGACCAGAAGGAACGACAACGTCAGGGAGTGCAAACAACGCATCAAGAGCTGCTACGTCGATGTAAGAAATTTCAGACGAAAGACCTGATGAAGGATTGGACCTTGTGGAGGGGACGACCACCTCCAAAACGGAAAAAAGAGACTTCAAGCGGAGGAGGAACCGGTAATGTAGAAGAACCGGCCTCCCCAGAGAGAGTGAATGTGCCATAGAATAAAAGTAATGGATGAATGGGACACAACTGGATCTTCTGGCAAGCTGAAAGGAAACCGCTCAAGACGAGCTTTGTCTTAAGAGGGGAGCAGATGTACGGACGAAGAATAGTCGCTGCAAGAAGAGTAGCCGAAACAACAGGAGACACTGCAAGGACAACCACCGAGGAAAAGGAACGGGGATGCACTGTTAGGCTATTCGGGACGAACAGCCTTAAGGAGGAAGCAGTGTGACATGTTGACCCCTACCTCCCCAGCGGCACGTAGCGTGAACGTGGCGCTCGCGTAATAGGGGAGTAATCACCCCGCATCCTGGTAGCTATGCAACGCACAACGCGCGGTGACGTCACGAGCGGAGCCGACGTTAGCCGAGTTCCCGCGACCTTGAAGCTATGCAAAGCGAATCAACAGCGGTGACGTCACCGAGGGATATCGCGGTTGCTAGGCAGCAGTCAACAACTCCGGACAGCATGGCTAGCAACACGGCACCAGATGACAATTGTCCGATCGAGGCTACATGAGGAGCAGCGAAGGCTATTCACAGTCAGTCCTGAAGCTACCTCCGAGTCAGTTAGTCCGGGAGCTACCGATGAGTGAGTCCTCGAGCTACCTCTGAGTTAGTTCCGAGTTAGCCAGCAACTAGTCAGTTGTATTCTGGCATTTGGAGTGTAATATTTGTGATACTGCAGATAGTAGTAATCGTCAGATTGTAATTTGGGTGACTGTAAGAGCGAATGTGAAATAAAATTCGCTGTATCAAAGACGGCGTGAAGTTATTTGTCGCGCTATACGCCCAATACGCGACAATATTTAAAAAAAAAGTATTAATGTTATTAGTACTTGTCAACTGAAAACATAAACTTCTACTCAAGATAACATAAATTTTACAGCAACTGTCCTACAGGCAGGACAGGTTTGCGCTTTTTAAATTATCCCATATGTAATAATGATAGCTCACCATTTAAAGATTTCACAGAGATAAACACCTTCTTGAACTATAAGCTGTCACAATTAATTAAAATCCTAACATTTGGCAAGGAGAAGAGAACGCTTCCAAATTTTGGAATTTTATCCAAGAATGATGTACCTTCTAGTTGTAGCTGGGGTGAAGCATTTGTTGTTGTAAGGCCTATGGAGACACAAGCATCTATTTAAAAGCACCAATCACTTTCCCCTGTTATCACAAACCTTTACAGTTTCCATGCAGATATATTTATGTGGGAGCATACCTTGGCAGAGTCCTTGAGGTGGTTCATGGATGGATCATTGATACTTTTGCCAGAAGCAGCTTTTGTTGCCTGAATAAGGTCTCCTAGAGCAGATGCCACATCTTTCACAGCATTGATTAGCATCACCTGTTGAACCAGTGTGACCAACATAACGATTTTAGTTCTTAGGTTTTCATGGCTGGAGCTTTTGAGACTAGGCTGCATCAAACGTGCAGGGTTTTTGAACATTTTGGCAAAGTTTGCAGTTGCCTATTTCAGGATTCATCATTTTGGGAAACGTTTTTTTATTGCCTCTTTTCACCAATCACACGGTCATTCCCTATTGGAGCTGCTCTGTTCATCCAATCACAGCTTCACGTATAACGTAATGTCTAATGTGAAAGCCATTATTATTATTATTATTATTATTATTGGAAGGGGTGGGTTTCCCCATGCACCACGACCAGTTAGATCTATTGTACGTCCCCCTGTGATATTCTACCAGTCTCTATACCCTACCGGTACTGGTGCGTGCCATCAGTCCCGACTCAGCCAGCGAGTTCGGCCTCTACTGGCTCAGCGGTATCTAGATGCTTCCCCCATCTACCAGAGGCATTAGAGACTACTGTTGGGCGGGAAATGTCCTTCAATTTGGCTCAGAGGTCTCCTTGAGATTTGAGGTTCTTTTACGTGCCGTAAAGCTACGACACGGGACCCATGGCTTAAAGACCCTCCTGGAGGACTTGTTCCCTGAATTTTTCCGCCCTTAAAAATTCCACGACCTCCGCCGGGTTTGAACCGGCGTACCTTGAGTCATGAGGTGGGAACGTTACCCCTAGACTACGGAGGCCGCTTATGTGAAAGCCATATAAGAGCTGTCAAACCCCTACCAAAGTAGTTAACCCCAATGATGGCACCTGCAAGGTTTGCAAAAATGGAAAACCCAACATTTAACACAGGTTTAGTCCTGAAAGCCAAAACCACATAAATGATTTACATTCATTTTGTACAATATATAAACCAAAAACTGATGCCGGAAGCAGCGTCATCAGTAGGTACTTGAAGCACAGAGCAAATGATGCTCGAGATGGTTCAAGTTCGTTCAGCAACAGGCGTGACCAGAGTGGTTTGAACAGCTGTTGTACTGTGATGTGGAAAGTAAATGGAAAAACTACCGCATTATCACTTTCCTGGATAGTCTCTTTCCAAAAACAGAGATACCATGTATGCAAGATGTCTCCTCTGGAGACAAAACAAACTGGAGGGGCGGACAGAAGTGCCCAGAAGAAGAGGAAGAAGACGTAAGAAGATGCTGGATGACCTTGGGGACAGAAGAGGATAGTTTAATTGAAGGAGAAAGCTTGAGATTGCATTAAGTGGAGGAACTGTTTTGGAAGAGACTGTGAACCTGTCATCTGACAGATTACTGATGAATGAATATTTCTCCCTGAATATACACAGCAAAACTCCCATTTAACGTTTCTTTGGGGAGCAGTGGACATGAACAAAAAACTGTGGAAAAGGATAAACGGAGGAAAGGAGAAACTTTAATTGGGATCTAACATGATACTGTTTATGGGAAACACACTTTTGGAAAGTAAAATACATGAATAAACTATGATAACTACATATTACACAAATAACAGATTTACAGAACAAATCAGAAACAACAGGCTCACTAAATAACCTCTCAGATGATTCCAAAAATTATCTTCTTAAAATACCATAATACATATTCCATAATACATAAGGATGACAAATCCTGAACAGTTTTAACATTTTTAATATTTAAAATTTAGCAATATATATGACAAATATATATTTTAGTTATTTTAGTATAAAGACAACAGGGCATGCAATGCAGTAGTTCGACGTACATCGAAAAGCACCTGAAGATGGCACTTTAGTGCCGAAACATGTAGTGCAAGAGAGAAGAGTATGGTGAATAAATGTATGCACTGTAAGACGGTCAGAATAAATCATGGACATTAAAATACCAATCAACAGCGAAAATAAGTTTAGTAAGACCTATGAAATAATGGAAGAATTCTGTTTTTTAAAATCAGTAATAAGTTTGAATGGTCATAATACTGGGAAGGATGAACTAACAGACTACATGGAGCAGAGACCATATTGAGAAGCTATCTATTGCTCAGCTACTCAAAAAATTTCCTGCATTTTATGAAACCCAAAGGTTCATTACAGCATTCACAACAGCCTGCTAGTGATCACTATCCTGAGCCAGATGGATCTAGTCCACATCCTCCCTTCCTTCTTCTTCAAGATCCATTTGATCCATTCTGTTTTTTAAAATCAGTAATAAGTTTGAATAGTCATAATACTGGGAAGGATGAACTAACAGACTACATGGAGCAGAGACCATATTGAGAAGCTATCTATTGCTCAGCTACTCAAAAAATTTCCTGCATTTTATGAAACCCAAAGGTTCATTACAGCATTCACAACAGCCTGCTAGTGATCACTATCCTGAGCCAGATGGATCTAGTCCACATCCTCCCTTCCTTCTTCTTCAAGATCCATTTGAATATTATCCTATCTTAGGACCTCTTACTGGTTACTTTCCTCTAGGTCTTTCTACCAACTACAAAGCAGAATGACGAAGAAATATCTGTCCTCTACCATAAAACCAACTAACCTGAGCTTCTGGGTTATTAGAGCCCAGGGACGCAGCCCCAAACTTGACAACTTCAGCCAGTTGCACAATGGTTGACACAGCATTCTGAGCAGCAACAGCAAGCTGTTCTTGTGAGGATGCAGCCCCTATAACATGTATATGACATGTGAAAACTGAGGTTCTCATGGAAGTAACGATGATGCTGTCTCCTAGGACGTGACACTGTGAAGTCTGGAAGATATTTACCAATATTTCATAGGGACCTGCTATGCCCATCTTGTGGGGGGTAGCTACCCAGAAGATCAAAGAGGAAGGTTTCTTGAAAATCTCACAACTACATCCAACTTCTGTACATACTGGGCTATGTATTTGAATTATGAATTTGAAAGTTCAAATTTCTTCTGATTAAACATAACAATGGAACTGCACAAAGTGTTCACTGTGGAGGCTGAGGATAAACTAGACCTCATACCTGCAACCAGAGTCTTGGTGTCCTCAACTAAAGCTTTGGCTGTCTTGAGGATGTTTTCGCGGTGGTTAGCAAATGATTCCTCTTCATTTTCTGCGTGCAGTGTTCCTGCAGTGGCAAACATGATGGTTGTATCCAGATCGCCTATTATACCAGAAACAGTGCTGGCAGCATTGATGCAAGCCTGTGTACCCCGAGAGCCAGCCTGCAGGGCTGCCAACACTTGCGAAACCTGGACATACAACAAAATCTTACAATTACACTCTTCCAAAATGACACACAGTTGAAGAAATACTTTGCATAACACAGACCAAGAAACACTTATTCATACTGGTTTAAGTTGTCAATGTGCTTAACTAATTAAGCACTATGCCATGAAGGCGTATGGGGAAGTGCATGTATAGATCCACATTTTCTTGACCTCAGCATTAATTGGAGGAGAGTGGTCAGCTTCATGACCCTGTCACTTTACCCCCAAGGGAAAAAAACCCTGGTACCCATTGGATAGGAGGCTGGGTGGGCCCCAGAGCCGATCTTGACTATGTGGAAAGCAGAAAATTCTTGACCTTACCGGTACTCGAACTCTGACTCCTCGACTGTCCAGCCCACAGCCAGTCATTATACCGGTTGTGCTAGCCCAGTCATCCAGATTCGTTACAAGGTTCATAAAAGTGATGTATTCAATAATTCTCTTCTGAATAGACATTGTTTAGTCTGGTAGAAGTTTGCTAATGTTTTGGAGCAATGTCCTATGTATATTTTCAAAGTAAAAGTATGACTCTCCTACCCTAATAGAGGCAGCATACCTCTCTGAAATATCTATAAACTTTTACAAAACTAGACAGTATCACATCTAAGAAATCAACTCACATGAAACATTACAAATCAGAGCACTAGAAACATAAAACCCTAAGAGTTCAGCATTAAACAAAGCCTGAAGTAACTGAAGCCAATAATACGCACCTTCTCTGAGACATGCCGTGCACTGTCAGCAACATCTCTCTGTGCAAAAGTGTCACCCTGTGGTGCCATCTGACAAGCACCACCTGCTTTCACAAGTTCCAGACATGCACGACCTAGTTCTTGAACACCTGAACGTATGCGTGTTGATACATCTGCGTTAGAAGTGGCTGCAGCTGCACCAGTGGCATCTGAAGCCAGCTGTCCATACTGGCGAGACAAATCAGCTCCTAGGGCCCCAAGACGTCCCACATCAGTTGCAGATTTCGCCACCTGTGACATATGATTTGGTAACTACTTCATCCTTAACACACAATGGGCTACATTAATTAATGTTTTTATGCATACAACTTTTGATCACCTTCTTTCACCACTAACTGCATAATACTTCAACTATGAGCAGAATGTGTGTAGATATGTAATATATATTTTTTTCTTTCTGTATCCCCATACAGACGAAGTGACAAGAGGCTGGAGAAAATTACACAATGAGGAGCTTCATAACTTGTACTCTTCTCCAAGTATAATTAAAATGATCAAGTCGAGGAGGATGAGGTGGGCAGATCATGTAGCATGAATGGGGGAGACAAGGAATGCAAATAGGATATTGGTGGGAAAGCCAGAAGGAAAGAGACCACTGGGAAGAGCAAGGCATAGGTGGGTGGACAATATTAAAATGGATCTTAAGAGAGATAGGATGGGATGGTATTGATTGGATTGATCTGGCTCAGGATAGGGACCAGTCGAGGGCTCTTGTGAAAACGGTAATGAACCTTCGGGTTCCATAAAATGCTGGAAAATTCTTGAGTAGTTGCAGAATTGGCAGCTCCTCCAGGTGGGCTCAGCTCCATCAGTAAGTAAGTAAGTAAGTATCCCCATATTATGAGCCTTTGGAATAAAGTCTATGCTTCCGGAATGATCATACTCAAAGTATCCTGTCCCCAAGGGTGAGCTAGACCAACATGCCATGGCACCAATGTGTTAGTAACAGGTTCATTGCTACTAACATGAGAAGTAAAAAATCTTCAAGATAAGCATTATAAAGTTGACCATACCCCTTTACGAAGCTTACTATCTTCTGGGATATAACGTTGTGTAGTCTGGTTAGAAGTTTACTGGCATTTCACAGGAATATATGACTCTGTCTTCTGGGCCAAAGAATATGTCCAGCAAACAACCAACCGACAAGGAATTCTTCAGGATAACTCCCCCAGCATTCTACCCTAAAGATGGAGGCAGGATATTCCACCGAAACATCAGTAAACTTCTACCAGACTACACAGGGTCACATCTTAGAAGACAGTACCATTCATAGTCACTGCAGTCAAAACCTCAAAATCTCACTTACCTCTTCAATATTTCCCTTGCTCAATACTGAATTTACCCCACTCAAATATCAGTATTAAATTTAAGGTATTGTAGCATGTAGACCTGTTGCTAAGTAATGAATCTGTAAACAATGTCCGCTGCTAGGCAACAGATTTGTAACATGCACCAATGGAGTAACTGGGAAGCTGTGTTCTCTATGCAGTCCGTGAGACAGCTGTGTGATGCAACAGTAAAAGAACTATTGGAAGCAGTGCTTTCTAAGCAGTTCATGCTGAGGTGTTATAAGCAGGACAAGTATAGATTTAAGTTAGTTGTGAGACAGTTGTCAGCCAGTAAGGGCATGAACATGGAAGCTGAAGAAACTATGGCAATGAAGCCTCTACCAGGCAACAACTGGTAAAGATACAACGGAATGAGAGGACTCAATGCGTGCTGTAGTGAATAGAAGAGTGTGTGAATTAGCGATAGTGCTATAGTTACTTGTAGTTATGTTCCATAAGTGTTCAATAAATCCAATTACCAATCCAAAACCCATCTACAATCACTCAAAAATCATGACACTATTTTCACTCACAATATCCTCTTAATTTTAGCCAGAAAAGGGCTACCAAAATTTCAACTACAGCTCTTCAAATCCTGAATTATAATTCAGAGGTTTACACTGCATGTAATGTAAGACTATTTAGAAATGGTGTGAATAAAGTAACTGAGGACACAGAACATGCAGCCATACCCAGGAAACAAACACAACATTACAGTTAGTCTTCTTCCTTGTGACACTGTATAATGTGCTAGAAGGTACCAACATTGTGAAGGAACCCGATACCGCCATTGTAAGGGCGGAAGAAATGTTATGGCAGGAACAATGAAGAGCCTGAAGAAGGTAAAAGTTGCTGCCTCCAGAACACTGGTACACATCTACAGAATCACTGTCATCACAACCCATGAGATCACTCTCTTTAAGATTTAGTGATGTGATGATATTGTGGCATGTCTGCTGAAGGCCAGAATTGTGAAGCCACCAGAGACCTAGAAAATGGCTCTGCAAACACGGCCGTTACTATGCATCTGCTGTGTAAGCATGGAACAATACCAGAGCCATTACTAAGCAATGTGTGCACACATCAATGGAGGAACTGTGGGAAGTTGCGTTTTCTGCGTGGTCCAAGCTGAGACTCCATTACGAAGACCAGCCCCCATTATGGAAGTGCTGAGATGACAGAAGAGTATGGAGGTTGATGTATGATGGGTGCCAGCCCCAGAGTCAATCCGTTTGTCAGTCAGTCTGAGTTGAGAGTCTAGACAGGAGTTCGAGAGTCTGCAGACAAACAGTCAGACAGTTACAGTAGTTGAGGCCACGGACAGTTCAGGAATCCAGAGAAAGGGGAATATCTGCTGTTGGAAGCTGCTACCAAGCTGCACAGTGAAGACCGTGACTGCGAACACTAGTCTCTGTATCAGAGTAAGTTGTAAAGTGTAGTCACGCGTTGATTCAGTAAATCTGATTACCAAATCAAACTTCATCTAGAGTTACTCGATCACATGACTATATCAGACACAGATCTTGTTTGAAGCTATAGTAAATGTCATACATAATGTGCCCCCAAATCATGCACATCAGAGTATCCTGATATTTTGCACAGCATCTTTCTCTCAAACCATGTTCTCCATCACTTGCTTCATCAACAAGCCACAAGCAGAGATATTCTGTGTACAAGCCAATATCATCCAAGTGTCCCAACAAAACAAGGAATTGTGCACAAGTTTTGTCTCTAACTCACCATTTCCTGTGCAATCCTTGCCACCTCCTTGGCCGCAGTCACCATGCGTGTCTGGTAATCCACGAAGCTCAATTCCCCAGTCTCAGAGTATGCTGAGTGACGGTGACTGCTTTCGGTGACGCGTGTCATGGCACGAGTGATCGAGTCCAGGATGCCCGTCACCACACCTGCTTGTGTCGCAAGGTGCTCCAGCGTCTTGCCCACATCTTGGAGTGCATCACGTGTTGCGTCAACAGATTCATCAATGTCAGGGTGGATGTTTATTGCCTATAGGAGCAACCAAATTACAACTGGAACCACAACTTCAGGATGATTGAGTTACTGACTGACTGACTGATGGAAAAGTCAATCAGTACTGAAGCCCTGATGGACATCTGCAGCTTATCTAATGACGCTATCAGCAACTCTCACTAGCCTTCTTCGTCCAGGAAGATCCTCCAATCTGCTGCTCCTACATTATCAGCCAGATTTTATCTTATTATATCACGCTGTCTTTCCAAAACTTTTAAAGCTCACAGCACACATAATCTGTGAAACTGTGACTTCTAGATGCCATTCAAAGACTATGATATGTAAGAATGGATGAGTGGAAGGGATATCTGTGGAAACTGCAGCCAGAGATGGGAACTGTCATATTTTCCCAGCTGAATTTCAATTGAACGTTTCATTCGTCAATTATATTTATAACTACTGAAGCAAAAAAGTCTGCGATGAAGTAACTCACCTTCGGGTTGCCTCCCCCTTCCTTGGTAGCGTACACCAGCTGTAGCGCACATTCAGCTACTGTCTTTGTCTGGTCCAGTAGCACCATCTGTTGCTTTGAGTGCACCATGTTAGAGGCAGCACCAACAGCACCAGCCACCAGTGGTTCAAAGTACAGGACCATCTGGTTCACCTGCACATTTAAAAGTAAATCAGGCAAGTAAAAAGTACACAGAATGGAGGAGACAAGGAATGCGCATAGGATATTGGTGGGAAAGCCAGAAGGAAAGAGACCACAGGGAAGACCAAGGCATAGGTGGGTGGACAATATTAGAATGGATCTTAGATAGGATGGGATGGTATGGATTGGACAGATCTGGCTCAGGATAGGGACCAGTGGAGGGTTCGATAAAATGCTGGGAAATTCTTGCGTAGCTGCAGAATTGGTGGCTCCTCCAGAAGGGCTCAGCTCCATCAGTAAGTAAGTAAGTAAGTAAATAAAAAGTAAACAAGATGTACCTGTGTTAAATTATACACGATGCCATAAAGATGCATGGGGAGTGCAAGTATAGCTTTATTCACATTTGGTATAGAGTTTATGCATCCCATATCGGTGCCTCTAGCTGCATATGGAGTTGCCCCACGAGAAAAAAAAAAAAGACTGATTTTCTCAAAAATTCTTCTAACACCTTTCATTAAATTTAAATAATATATGCAGATCACCTGCTGAAATAGAACTCCATAGGTGGTATCTTCAGTAAAATAATAGTATGTTCAATAGGGCCCAAAAACAAAATTCTGATTTCACAGAAACTGATATTAAGTCAGGCAGCTCTCACTGTTGTTCTGTACTCAGTAACCAAGAATGATCTACCATGCAACAATTTCCTCCACTTCCAAGTGACGTATTCAGGTTCAGTCATATATGAAAGCACTGTTTTTGCTTTAATTTCTCATGTTAGTGGTAAGACTGAACTTAAGAACTCTTCCCAGTAGTTTATTGTATAAGAAGACCAGAATTATGGTCACCCAATGGTATTCATGTGAGAAATACTAAGAATGCCATGTAACCACCAAGATGCCTGGTATTATTATTATTATTATTATTGCTAGTGGGATGGGACTAAGTCCCTTGTACTGCAGCCACTTCTGGCCTATTATACCAGCCCCACATGATAGGTGAGGGTGATTGTGGAGCAATTGGTGGAATGAAGATTGGCAGGGGAAACCAAAGTACTCAGAGAAAACCTGCCCCAGCACCACTTTGTCCACCACAAATCCCACTTGACCAGACCCAGGATCGAACCAGGGTCGCCGCTGTGGGAAGCCAGCTACTAACCGCTTGAGTTATGGTGTGGCCCCAGATGGCTGGTAACTCAATAGATTCAAACTCAGTATCTCTGCAGTACAGTAAAAGAAGATTCTCTTAAACCCGAAAAAGTTTTTCTTCTGGCATTGTTTCTGTTTCATGTGGATCAACTGATGAAGCCTCATAAGCAGGAAGAAGGTGCATATAAACGATAGACAAGTAAGGTGGCGGACTCACCGCATGTCCAATATTCTCAGCTTCAAATTTGGCAGCAGCTCGTACAGGCTCAAGTTTCTCTAGAATCTCATTCACTGAGCTTTCCATTTGATCAGTGAATCCCTGAAGTGTGTTGTCACGGCGTGGAGGCAGACTCTGCGACACGGCTGCGAGTGACGTCTGGTCGAGGTCACGGATACGGGCGCTCAGCTTCTCTATGGCACTGTCACATTCCTTCTGTCCAGGGGCCTTGTCCCTGAGCATTCAGACACAGTGACATCACGTGACAGCTTACTGTGGCCTCGTCACATTACAGACCCTTGCCCCTAAACTTGAGACATACAGCTGATTCTCAATTAAGTGCGGGTGAATTATCCAGGTTCAGTGGTGCGTCCACTGACATGTTGGTATCGTGACTAACCACTTGAATTTGAGCATACATATCCTAATCCAACAACTGTCTACAGCTTAACACGGGAACGAAATGCTTATCAAGAAAAACAAACAGAGATTTATGACCAAAAATCAAAACATGAAATTCTAGTCACTCTTCATGCACACTTTATGCTTCCATGCACATTGCAACCCATTTTATTCTCTCTCTCTCTCTCCCTCCCCTTCTCACTAACTGTTTTGGCGTATGTCTCTGCCCTGCCTGTTAGCAGCGCTGTTTTCATTCCATGTATATAAGCCATGTAAAGGGCCTATATACATGGAACAAAAACAATACTACTAACAGACAGGGCAAAGAACACAGTCAAAGAGGCATACATGATAACTGCACCAAGACGACTGGGAACTATGTTTACACAACACTCATGCCACTGCAAAGTGAATTCAAACACAATGATAATTGGATAAAAGGACGAGAGCCCCCAAGCAAAAATATTGAAATTTTAATTAGGCATTATTTTATTTTTAATGGAATATTTTTTTTATTGCTAGTGGGGTGGGACTAAGTCCCTTGTACTGCAGACACTTCTGGCCTATTGTACCAGCCCCAGGTGATAGGTGAGGGTGATTGTGGAGCAATTGGTGGAATGAGGATTGGCAGGGGAAACCGAAGTACTCGGAGAAAAGCTGCCCCAGGGCCACTTTGTCCACCACAAATCCCACTTGACCAGACCCGGGCCACTGCGGTGGGAAGCCAGCGACTAACCACTTGAGCTATGGCACGGCCCTTTAATAGAGTATATTATTTTAAGTGAGAGATATCACATTCGCATGTGATAGCTGAACTTGCATATATTACACAGTGAAACAGTTTTAGCAAACAGACACGCCTCACAATGGTCGTATATGGCCGAAACATGTAGTGAGGGGGACAGGGAAAAATAACGAACGGGCTGCATTGCGGTCGGGAGTACGGTGTGTGAATGAAGAGTACATTAACGCAACAGGATGTTTAAATACAATTTTAGAAATTCAAGTGAACAAACTTCAGCTTCAGGTAGAACCATTCATTAAAATTGTTCTAGGAACTCTGATTATCCTCATAAAATAACTGAAGTCATAACAGGGCTGAAAGGCCACCCAATCCTTGGCATGAGTAAATGAGGACAGGATATAAACAAATACATTCATTCTTCTACATAAAAAGTCTATTTGGTCTGCTACAGGCACAACGCAACACCTTGCTGTGAACAGTACTGTCTTCTGTGATGTGACGCTGTGTATTCACGTAGAAGTTTGTGAACACTGTGAAGGAACTCAGGAGCACTGCAGTTTGCAGTGTCAGTTTCTTCTCTAACATTGCAGAAAATATATTACTAGCAAAAATTATAATTATTTTAACCTTTATCGGACGGGCCATTTAATTTCCAGTAGGGGCAGCTGGACGGAGTTTATTTAAATGCCCACCCTTCTAGAGCAATGAAATTGTAAGCATGTTTCTAAAAATGGTGTGATTTCTACATTTTTTATGATAAACGAACGAAATGAATGCTCCTTTAATGTAGAAAGAATATAGAATCAGATATTCTAATTTACAGGTTTTAATATCTGTAAAAAAATTTTACACTGATTCCCAAAATAAAATTTCCCGAAATTCATACATTTTCTGCACCATGCGTTCTAGCAGTGTAATACATTTTCTGCACCATGCGTTTTAGCAGTGTAAGTCCTTGTGGCGACTTCACATTCAATGGTATCTCTTGTTGTAGCTTATTTATCGTATGGGACATGTCACTATGCACGACTGTAGGCGTCTGAAATTCCTCGCTGCCTAATGTGTTAGATAAACACAGAAGTTAATTCTCGGAATATGGTGTTGCCAGATAAGTCATTCGTTCATTCATTGCAGTCAAACCATTGTGTTTGTAACGATTTTGAAACATCGCAATATAAGGTTAGCCACCCATGACATCATGAAGCAGATATTGGGTTCAGAGAAGTCGTGAATGAGATTTTTGTATGTGTGGGCTCGAGGTTAAGATTTATGGCTTCTTATCGTGGTCTAAGCACAGAGATTCATTGCTAGCACTGCTAGAGAGCCGTATACACGACGACGTCGTATGGAAAATGCTGAAATGAGAAACAGCTGTTCAATGACACAGATTCGGACTGCTATTCAACCGATTCTGAATGTGGCGTGGAAGGTTGGTCTTCTGATGCCTGAAATTGAGAAACAGC